TCATACAGAGACCACTGCAACATAAAGGGACACAAAACACTAACCTAGCGCTGTAGAGCTTGTGATCAGCCACTGTCCAATGCAGATGTGAGTCCATACTCCTTGCCTACACTTGCCTTGATGAACCTGAGTGAGAACACATCTTCCTGATCACACTCCAGGCTCATATCATAGTCTGCCTAGTAGTCTCACTGCCTAGTAGTCCCACTGCCTAGTAGTCTCACTGCCTAGTAGTCCCACTGCCTAGTAGTCTCACTGCCTAGTAGTCTCACTGCCTAGTAGTCTCACTGCCTAGTAGTCTCACTGCCTAGTAGTCTCACTGCCTAGTAGTCCCACTGCCTAGTAGTCTCACTGCCTAGTAGTCTCACTGCCTAGTAGTCCCACTGCCTAGTAGTCCCACTGCCTAGTAGTCCCACTGCCTAGTAGTCCCACTGCCTAGTAGTCTCACTGCCTAGTAGTATCACTGCCTAGTAGTCCCACTGCCTAGTAGTCTCACTGCCTAGTAGTCTCACTGCCTAGTAGTCTCACTGCCTAGTAGTCCCACTGCCTAGTAGTCCCACTGCCTAGTAGTCTCACTGCCTAGTAGTCTCACTGCCTAGTAGTATCACTGCCTAGTAGTCCCACTGCCTAGTAGTCTCACTGCCTAGTAGTCCCACTGCCTAGTAGTCCCACTGCCTAGTAGTCTCACTGCCTAGTAGTCTCACTGCCTAGTAGTATCACTGCCTAGTAGTCTCACTGCCTAGTAGTCCCACTGCCTAGTAGTCTCACTGCTCTTGCTCATTACCCATTGAGGCGGCGGGGTGTCAGCCAGGGTAAGTCAGTGTGACGGTTGGAGTGGCCCAGAGGAAACCTCAGTGGAGAAACCTCGGTGGAGAGGGCAGGAAGGAGACACTCTGCCAGGAGCCAGTGAAGAGACCACTCACTACGGAAAACATCTGGACCAGAGAAAGGGGGAGAGGAAGGAGGGAGAGAGGGAGTCATGCAACGCCACAAAGGAGTAACTTGAGCCAATCATAAAGAGCTTTCACTGGGGAGAGAGAAAAAGAGAGGGATAAAGCCCATTATTTTGGCTACCATGACTAGAAGAAGAGATCTCAGTGACTTTGAAAGAGGTGTCTCAAAGGAGCACAGGGGGTTTAAAGGGTGTGTGTGTCTCAGTCACCAGATCTCAACCCAATTGAACACTTATGGGAGATTCTGGAACAGCGCCTGAGACCACGCTTTCCACAACCATTAACAAAACCCCAAATGATGGAATTTCTCGTGGAAGAACTCCTATAGAGTTCCAGACACTTGTAGAATCTATGCCAAGGTGCATTGAAGCTGTTCTGGCGGCTCGTGGTTGCTCAACGCCCTATTAAGACACTATGTTGGTATTTCCTTTATTTTATCTGTTACCTGTATGTGAGCATTTTACTGCTTTATTTTTCCTCAACATCTCAAGCCTGACACATTTATGTGTAACTCTGCCACCTAGGTGTGAAGGAGCAAAGTTCAGTGGTGGAGGCACTGTACATGAAGCTCTCCTCCCCTCCTCCTGTGCCTGCCTGCTTGTCTGTCTGTTTCACCACAGCCCAAACTGATTATCATCCCAAAGCCTTACTCTATCTTCAGTCACTGCCCCTGCCCCCCTTCCTCTGGTCCTCTCTGGTTCTCGTCTGACTGTCACGACCTGACCAGTGCCTAGCCTGCTGTCTGGGCTGGGGCTCGATGGTTGGACTGATGCTGCACTAGGGGGAATGCACTGACGGTCATTGATCAAATATAGAGGAATGCAGTATTACTGAACAGGGAGTCCTGCTCTGATTCTGCCCCAACATGCACAAGGAAATGTTACTTAGACTGACGATGTTTCATAATGTGCCTTTGTTTGTTGTGAATTACGAAGGCCATACAATAGCTTATTGTTGGAGTCATAGATAGACACAGATTGAGCTAATGAATGGTGGGTCTCTGTGTTTTTTTTTTCAGATGTTTACACATTCCTGTGTGTGATGCATCTGCATTCCTCTGGGTTTCTCTGTGAGTGCTAGGTTTAGAGCCTGACCGATATGGGATTTTTTGGTCTGATACTGATTTAAGGGACGCAAAAGTCTTGTTTTTTAGAGGTGGAATAAAAACCAGACTTTTTTTTACACAAATTGTGCTCCAAAGGATTAACAGGTACTCTAAATCAATGGTCACCAACCTTTTCTGAGTCAAGATCACTTTCTGAGTCAAAATGCAAGCCGAGATCTTTTTTGAAAACATAAGCCTGTGCACCATTCACCAATTTAAAAAGAGTGCTGTAGCATATTGGCTATGCTTGAATTGCCCTACCAATTTTGTTCTTCTCAGACCATTTAGAAATTATATTTAAAAAATGTAGGTGTATGATCGTACTGGTAATAGATCATTTGTTGTATTACTTGTGAGGCACAGCTGAGTGAGCATTATCTATCTATCTATCTATCTATCTATCTATCTATCTATCTATCTATCTATCTATCTATCTATCTATCTATCTATCTATCTATCTATCTATCTATCTATCTATCTATCTATCTATCTATCTATCTATCTATCTATCTATCTATCTATCTTTGAGCTCAAGTGCATCCTGTTTCCATTGATCATCCTTGAGATGTTTCTACAACTTATTTGGAGTCCACCTGTGGTAAATACAAATGATTGGACATGATTTGGAAAGGCACACCTGTCTATATAAGGTCACACAGTTGACAGTGCATGTCAGAGCAAAAACCAAGCCATGAGGTCGAAGGAATTGTCCATAGAGCTCCAAAACAGGATTGTGTCAAGGCACAGATCTGGGAAAGGGTACCAAAAAATGTCTGCAGCATTGAAGGTCCCTAAGAACACAGTGGCCTCATTCATTCTTAAATGGAAGAAGTTTGGAACCAAAAATACTATTCCTAGAGCTGGCTGCCTGGCCAAACTGAGCAATCAGGGGAGAAGGGCCTTGGTCAGGGAGGTGACCAAGAATCTGATGGTCACTCTGACAGAGCTCTAGAGTTCCTCTGTTGAGATGGGAGAACCTTCCAGAAGGACAACCATCTTTGCAGCACTCCACCAATCAGGCCTTTATGGTAGAGTGACCAGACGGAAGCCACTCCTCAGTAAAAGGCACATGACAGCCCGCTTGGATGTTGCCAAAAGGCACCTAAAGAAACTCAGACCATGAGAAACAATATTCTCTGGTCTGATGAAACCAAGATTGAACTCTTTGGCCTGAATGCCAAGCATCCCGTCTGGAGGAAACCTGGCACCATCCCTATGGTGAAGCATGGTGGTGGCAGCATCATGCTGTGGGGATGTTTTTCAGCGGCAGGGACTGGGAGACTAGTCAGGATCGAGGCAAAGATTAACGGAGCAAAGTACAGAGAGATCCTTGATGAAAACCTACTCCAGAGCGCTCAGGACCTCAACCAGCTAATTATTAGAATCAGGTGCACTAGATTAGGGTTGAAGTGAACATCTACGGGATGGTAGCTGTCCATGAACAGGGTTGTAGAGCCCTGCTTTATTGCAACCTCACAATGAGAGTACGTTATGACAAGTACAAGCTAGCTGTTCATTACGACAATGTTTTCTTACAGAAACCATATGTACATTACACTGTTATTCAATAAAAAAATTATTGGCTATACATTTCAACTGCAAATGGCATGCGCTGATGACTGAAAACGTTTAAGCAGGCAAATGCTTGCCGCACTGGTTTTAGTCACACATTAGCTACTTATCTCATCTTGAATGCAAGCACATGGCTTGAATGATAGATCTGCGCCAACTGTCTTGCTTTTTGAAGATTGCATATTTCGGAAAACAAACTAAATAAGCCCACTGAGGGGTGGTGGTCTGACATGCCAGATGTTTCTGGAACACTCCTCCTTATGACGCCAGGGGTTGGTCTGGTGGCTGGGGAGAGGAAGTGACCTCAGCCAAGCCAGGTTTCCACGGTGACGGATGTTTCCGAGGCCTTCGAAGCAAAACAAATAGGCCTGACTCATCTAACTGGCTGTACATCACATCCTCCATGTGCCTCTCTGGTGTTCTCCGTTGGAAATGGTCTCAACAGAGAAAAATCAATATCTAATTTCAGGAACTGTCCACCCTTTAAAACTGATTTAAAATCAGATCTTCCTGTGTGTGTGCTTTAAATCTGTGTCTGATCAGTGTTTTATGGGATGTGTGTGTAGTGGTGCTGTTAGCAGGGGCTCCAGTGTCTGTGTTTTTCTCTGCACTCAATGGCTTTGCTGTGGCCAGGGACCTCCAGGGGCCATTTACTGACTGACGGGTTTGGTTGGACAAGGGCCTCCAGGGGCAAATTCAGGGGCCTTCTCACAAATCACGAGCCAATACTGACTGACTGACTGGCTGGGGTTTGGTTGGCTTTGCTGTGGCGTGACTTCACTGTTGAATGGCTACAGAGATGGATACTCACGTGTTCTGTGGTCCAGTGGACTGGGACAGCTTACTTTACTTGTTGGGATTGGAGATGAGTGTTTTTAATGGGACTGTCTGTTGTTCTCTTCTTCCTCTCTCTCCTTTTCCTCCCTCTCTCTCCTTTTCCTCCCCTCTCCCTCTCTCTCCTCTCTCTCTCTCTCTCTCTCTCTTTGTCTCTCTCTCTCTCTCTCTCTCTCTCCGCTCGCTCTCTCTCTCTCTCTCTCTCTCTCTCTCGCACTCTTGCTCTCTCTTTCTCTCCGTCACTCGCTCTCTCTATCTCCGTCACTCTCTCTCTTTCTCTCTCTCTATTTCCCTCTCTCTCTTTCTCTCTATTTCCCTCTCTCGCTCCCTCTCCCTCTCCTTTCCCTCCCCATCCCTCTCGCTCCTCCTACTCTACCCCCCCCCCCCCCCCCTCTCTCTCTCTCTCTCTCCTTTCCCTCCTGCCTCTCTCTCTCTCTCTCCTGCCTCTCCCTCTTTCTCCCTTTGCTCTTCTCTCCATCCTCCCTCTCTCTCCCCTCTCTCCCTTCCCTTCCGTCTCTCTCTCTGTAGAAGGAGTTTGCTGCGCCTCCTCCCCTGTTGTTCAGGAAGTTGAGTAACCCTGACCTGTCCCCCGCCACCAACAAGGCCAAACTACACCGACAGCTCAGCCAGGATGACGGCCGCGCTCGCCGTAGCAGCATGGCTATGACCGGTAAGAGAGAGACACACACACACACACACACACACACACACACACACACACACACACACACACACACACACACACACACACACACACAGTTGAGCTGTTGTTCAATATTTGAGACTGGTTGTCTTGTTCTCTCTCCCCACCCCCCACCCCACCCCACTAGGTAAGCAACTCCTGCCCCTGTCCAGCAGTATGCAGGGTGGGGTGAGTCAGCTAGCCTGGCAGCCTCCTGGAGAACCCCCCAACAACCTGGTCCGCATGAGGAGCCAGTCCCTGGGCCAGTCTGCACCATCACTCACTGCAGGACTTGTGTGTACACTACTACTTCTACTGCACAGACACACACACACACACACACACACACACACACACAGACACACACACACACACACACACACACACACACGCACGCACGCACACACACACACACACACACACACACACACACACACACACACACACACACACACACACCACACACACACACACACACACACACACACACACGCACACACGCACACACACACACACACACACACACACACACACACACACGCGCAACAGACACACACACACACATTTAGCAGACACACACACACGCAAACTATAGCAGCGATGACTGAATTCCTCATCCCTATTCATTCCTAGATGACCTACTAACTCAATTATTCCTCGTTTATCCCCCGTCCCAATAAATCCAATATGGATGAACCTTTCTATTAATCATCAGTATTTTATAGCCTATCCATTTGATTGCTCCGTCTATAGTGGACAGCTCCATCCATCTAGCCAGGCAGTACACAGTGCTGTCCAGTATTGATTGCCCTTCTATACAGAGAGCTGCAGCAGGCAGGCAAGCAGACTGGCAGACTGGCAGACTGGCAGGCAGGCAGGCAGGCAGGCAGAGACTGATGAGTCAGGCTGTCTCTGTATCCACCAGTCAGGAGCTGGCTGATCTGCTCTGCCCTCACTGACACCCACTCAGTACACACAAACACTGTCTGTCTGCCAGGACAGCACACTGAGAGCTACACACTGTGTCTTCCCCTACAGTTGTGTGTGTTGCATCTATAGACTGGATGGTTGTAACAAGCTATCGCAGCACTATGGCGACACCTACTGGATGTGGATGGAAGTGCGGGTACATTACTGTGCTCCATAAAATACTGTCTTCAGCTGTTCAATGCACCAGTAGAGGGCAGTATTATCAAATCTGAGTTCTCAGCTTTGGGTAGTGCTGGCAGTATACTGTACTACGGACAGTGTATTATACCATGTTTTTTGAGAGACCCACATTCTTAGCTTTCATTCTACACACCCACAGCTTGGCCTATAGCAAGCTGGTTCACAGTAACATTACAGGGTGAATGAGAGGCCAGGGAAAGTTCTAGGTTTCGTCAAAACAAGGAATTTAAAATGTTAACATTTTTAAAAACATTTTTAGTCATTTAGCAGATGCTCTTATCCAGAGCGACTTACAGTTAGTGAGTGCATACATTTTCATAAGTAGCTAATGACCAGTCTGTGACAGGAATCAGTCTGTGACAGGATGACAGTGATAACATAAGGAGCTGTGTTGTCACGTCTCACTTAGAAGGTGTTTATCAGATTAGTAAAACTTCAAATCAAATCAAATGTTATTGGCCACATGCGCCGAATACAACAGGTGCAGACATTACAGTGAAATGCTTACTTACAGCCCTTAACCAACAGTGCATTTATTTTTAACAAAAATGTAAAAATAAAACAACAACAAAAAAAGTGTTGAAAAAAAGAGCAGATGTAAAATAAAATAACAGTTGGGAGGCTATATACAGGGGGGTACCGGTGCAGAGTCAATGTGCGGGGGCACCGGCTAGTTGAGGTAGTTTAAGTAATATGTACATGTGGGTAGATTTAAAGTGACTATGCATAAATAATTAACAGAGTAGCAGCAGCGTAAAAGGATGGGGTGGGGGGGGGGGCAGTGCAAATAGTCCGGGTAGCCATGATTAGCTGTTCAGGAGTCTTATGGCTTGGGGGTAGAAGCTGTTGAGAAGTCTTTTGGACCTAGACTTGGCACTCCAGTACCGCTTGCCATGCGGTAGCAGAGAGAACAGTCTATGTCTAGGGTGGCTGGAGTCTTTGACAATTTTGAGGGCCTTCCTCTGACACCGCCTGGTATAGAGGTCCTGGATGGCAGGAAGCTTGGCCCCAGTGATGTACTGGGCCGTACGCACTACCCTCTGTAGTGCCTTGCGGTCGGAGGCCAAGCAGTTGCCATACCAGGCGGTGATGCAACCAGTCAGGATGCTCTCGATGGTGCATTGTGGTTTGCATGAATGACGTAATGAGAGGCCTGCAAACAGCATTTCCCCCCACTGACTTTTTGAAAGTATCCACAGCTATTGCGTAATGCAGCGATTTCTAAACTGAAAATATGACCTGCAGAGCTATTTTAGACAAGCAAATAATGATAGGTTATTATATTTCTCATTGGCCAGTTTTATTAAAGTTTCCCTCTGCTTGACAGCAGATCCCTTCTCTCCTGGTTTGACCCCGCCCCCTTCCCTTCTCTCCTGGTTTGACCCCACCCCCCTTCCCTTCTCTCCTGGTTTGACCCCACCCCCCTTCCCTTCTCTCCTGGTTTGACCCCACCCCCCTTCCCTTCTATCCTGGTTTGACCCCACCCCCCTTCCCTTCTCTCCTGGTTTGACCCCGCCTCCCCTTCCCTTCTCCCCTGGTTTATCTTCTAGCATAAATACAGCAGCTAGCTACACAAAGGCTGTATTAGACTAACTCCTCAGTAATAGGCTAGTCTAGCTGTATGGTCCAACACACAGCTTCCAGTAAACAACAACCACTTTTATTTATCATTTTCCTATCAGCTGTGTGGCATACCTCCTGTCTGTCTGTCTCTGTCTGTTTGTGTGTTTCTGTCTGTTTCTGTCTGTCTGTGGTCTGTCTGTCAGTCAGTCTGGGGTGCTAAAGAGGAGTTTAAATCTGTTATATATTTTAATGACATTAGTTATTCAGTTTCAGTAAATATGCCTATTGGTGAAACACCTGAACCCCTCTTCTCCTGTACTGTAGCTAATGACTATGAGATCGATGCCACCTAATGCCTGAATGGCCCATTTAATATACTGTCAGCCTGAAGTCATAGTCACCATTGCGCAATATGGTATGTTGGTGTCTTCTCTAATGTATGCATTGGCACCCTGCTGTGTTGGCTGGTGTAACAGCCGTGTTGTACCTTGTATCATGACACACACATTAACACAGTTCTTCATGGGATGTGAACATCATGTCAGGTGTTACTATCTTCACTGGGTTGGGCAGCCACTCGTTGAATTGAATACCCTCTCATACAGTACAGAGCCCTAATGGTCTCTGGTCTGGTCTGCACCCTGCAGGGAAACAACCCTAGATAGCCAGATGGTGTTTACCTATGGGATAATGGTGTTTGTGTGTGTGTGTGTGTGTGTGTGTTTCCATGAAAAATACACAATACATTACCCATAATTCCTAGAAAATCACCTGGTAACCTATCAGAGAGTGGTCTAGTGGCCATTAGAGTGTCCCCTGAGAGAGCAGCACCTGGACAGGATGAGGACTGATTTCTCTGTGGTTTTAATGTTTTTCTCTGGCACCCATCAGAACATCAAAGCTACAGCACTCGTCCCCATGCAAGGCAGTACATGTTGAGAGCATCCCTTATCAAATCAAATGTTAATTGTCACATGCGCCGAATACAACGGGTGTAGCCCTTTCCGTGAAATGCTTACTTACAAGCAGGGTAGACTAGTAGGCGAGTGACCCTGAAATCCAAAAACGTTCCTCTCATTGAATTATTAACATTGAGCTCGCCAGACGCTTGTCACGGCCGGCGAGGCTATTTATTTCTGTTTAAAACACGTCCATACGTGTTCATTGTGTTGACTCAACGCCCAGCAGCTTCCAAGTCAAGCTGAATTTCTGTTTCCTGAGTTTAAGATGATGTGGGTATAATATCAACAGAATAATCCCAGGTTGATGAGTTAGTGAGTGTAAGCCAAGCCCAGACATTAACGCAGTGACATGTGCATGCTATTTGCATTTGTGTGGAAAGGAAAGGCTTAGCTGGAATGGGCTAGTGTTCCACCGTGGCTCTTTTTATCTCTCCCCAGCTTCATCATTAAAACACACTCAGTCTGCCACAGGAGACGAGAAGGGCCTTTTGAAACGGGAGATCATAATTCGAACATGGAAAAAGCCCAGTCTGTCTGCCTTTATTGTCATCGTTTTACTCACTCTGAAATTACCATTTCCTTTTCACTTGCAGATTTAAAAACCCTGTGTCCTCTTTGGTTTGCCAAGACGGGAAAGGTCAAGTGCCTTAAAACGGGAAGGCTGTTTTCCTTTCTGAGGCGTTTTGTGTATTGATGCTTTAATGTGAGGTTTGGTGCCGTGATGGATAGGACCAGTTTAAAGACCTGAGGATGAATAGTAGACACGGGTATTAACCTCATCCTGCCATGGCTGGAACACACTCAGGAGGATGACTGACAGCTGGGATTGCGCTGGGCTGGCTGTGTGGCTGGCTGGCTGTGTGGCTGGCTGGCTGGCTGTGTGGCTGGCTGGCTGTCTGTGTGGCTGGCTGGCTGTGTGGTTGGCTGGCTGGCTGTGTGGTTGGCTGGCTGGCTGTGTGGCTGGCTGTGTGGCTGGCTGGTTGGCTGTGTGGCTGGCTGTATATACACACACACACACACACACACACACACACACACAGAAATTGGGAAAGGGCAGATCTCTGTATTGTATTTGTAAAATGACACCCCTAAAGAAGTTAAAATGCTAGTCTATTCAAGCAAGATCAACTTAAGACTTACATAAAGGACAACTTCTTTAACTTGGACTCAATTACCTTTATTGAGGAGTTTATGAAGACTTATACCAGAATGAGCTGACTGTGCTGATGATGCTGTGTGTGAAATATACATGAGACCATGAATAATTACTGTCAATAGGAGCCTAAATGGAAATGTCTCCCAGTCCCAGGACAGAGTGACACAACTGAACATGGCAGATAACTACACGGCACGTCAGACCTGTCCGTGTGTCTCCTCTTGTCTGTCTAGGTTTGTAGGGTTTGTTTCAGCTTTAGACTGTCTGTGGGTTGTCTTATGTGTCTGCTGCTCTGCCTCTGTGTGTTGCAGTGACTGTTGTGTCCGTGTCCCCAATGGCCCTTTTGGGACTATTGCCAGAGGGCCCCGTTTGTGTGAGTGGGTCTTTCAGTCTGTCAGATGAAAACAGGCCGTTCCTTCTCCAACCTCAGCATTAAATAGCCTGGCTGGCCAAAGTCTGCTGAAGGGGAGTGATGACTCACGCTTCCCTCAAGGTTGCAGTGCCCGATCACAAAGAAAATAGATGGGAATGGAGCGAGATGGAGGGAAAAACATATCTCCTCCTTTCTGCATCTCGCTCTGTCTCTCCTTGTTTCCTTGTCTTCTAGTTGTCATGTTCATAATTCATAGCCAAAGGAGGACAGCGTGTACCTTTTAGCCCAGATAGGTGACCAAGGTGCTGTTCAGGGAATACAGGGATCCCTGTGTTTGTCTGGCCTGCCCTGAATGCTAAGCTAGCCAGCGTTGTTGGTCAGTAAAGTGAAGTGGGTCGGTGGACAGGCTGGCTTTGCATGTATTGGCGTGTGAAGTGTGTCCTTCATTGCTGCAGTGTCTTAGCTAGCTGCAGCATATCCTCTTATGTAATCTACTGCAGGAAGGCACAGAGAGATGGTAGGCTTTATAGCAGAGAGAGGGCCTGCCCTGCATGCCAAGACTGCATACCTTATCTCCTAGGGATGGGGGGGGGGGGGGGGGGGGGGGGGGGGATCGATATAGTTATATATCTGTATATTATTTTTGACGATATATCCTATCATTTTGACAATATTGCAATATTATTTTTGCATTCATTTGCATTTCTAAAGGCTTTCCCCCAAAAACGTCCCAAT